TTAAGCGGGAAAATTGTTGTTCAGTTCAAAGTGGGACAAAATATCAAAAACAAGTCCAGAAATAAACGTAAACAAATCGTCTATAGAAATTGTTGAAGTAGAGTCAGCTCTGTATAAAATAGAACGCTTCAGTCTCGAAACTTGAGCAGTCACGGAATGGTGATGAACTAGCCTGAGGAATAGGGAAACAAATAATTACGTCACGCAATTTACACCCCCAGCGATGCTTCCTTCTGACTGTAAACATGTGATCATGCCAGATGGTATGCCACCCGCAATTTGGGAATAAACATTATTATTATTATTATTATTATTATTATAGGACTTTATTATACAGACTTTATGTGGTGAACATAGACTCTATTCTATTCATTCTGTTTAGTGTATTTTTATATGCCTTTGTTTTACGATGCGACATATAGTACGCCCGCGATATACGAGAATATACGATATTCATTCGTCTATATTCGGACTTCTACACTATGCGTACATTCGGTAGTTAAGGTACCTACCACTTCTAATTATCACACTTTATGTAACGGCGAACGACGGCCCACCATACTCATTACTGTGGTCAACAACACCCACCTTGGCTACTTATCCTAATTGCAGATCTTTGTCTATGTGCAACGCCGAGTATGGGACTTCAGCTACGCCCAATGGCCTAACCGAATGTCCAACGACGGCTCGTCCCATTGATATCCGTGCTCAATGTCACCCACTGTGGCTATCTATAGTAACCGACGGGTCCGTACACATGCTTGTAACTGACCATGATGAATCAAATATAATAACTATAATAGTAATAATAATAATATTTATTCCCAACTAGTGGGTAGCATACCGTCGGGCATGATCATAGTATTACAGTCAGAACAAAGGTATGACTGGTGGGGTTTGTGAAGGGAAAGTGGGAAAAGGGAAAGTGACGTAAACAGTAAACATTATGGAAGTAGAGTTCATCACACCTGAGGTGGCTTGAGTAGGGATAAAAAATTACAAGGTCTTTTTATGTCCTATGGAGAACATATCAAATGGCACGAGATCTGAACGTCAGGGTTTATAAGTGGCGGGCAAAGAAAACAATAGAAGTGAGGGCATAACAAAGAGCATCCTGACTGGAACGTGACAAAAACGAAAAACTTCAAACTACAGGAAGTGTTGGGCGGGAATAATAGAAATGGAGAGCAACAGAGCTGCCACGACATAGCAGGTCGGTCTGAACCAACATAACCGGCCAATCCAACAACCAGCGGCGGTTCTTTGTATCCATCGCTGTCGTCCGTCTGCCAACCTAATATTTGAAAAGCACACAACCACCTATAGAAAACGCAATATATGGTCAACCCAGTTCACAGTTTCAAAAATCCACTTGTACTCGACAGGATTTCTGAAATGAAAATTGTATAATCAGTGGCGACTCGTACACATCTTCCGCGATATAAATAAAAACACAATTAAACACATTTGTAGCGGCCACTTCATTGAGTGCTTGATAAACCCATTCCTCCACAGTTCTAGTCTGGTGTCCACGTTGAAGCTGGAGTCTTACTGGTGCAAAGGTTAACCCACTACTAGCTCGGTTAGTCTGTTTGGCGATAATGAGGGGGCGGTGATCTAGTGAGTGGGGTGGGTGCTTGGTGTCAAGTCAGCTCACTTAGAGCAGTCACCCCCAACTACAACCCATTCCCGCTTCCTGATACCGATAAAATATAGTTGAATAAAATCGTCAGCTCCGTCTTCCCAAAAAAATTTGTAACCATCGCATAATCCACCACAGTAGCAGTCTCACCTACGGGGGTCCTCTTGCGGGCCTTATCCAACGCACCATTCATTTCGAGGTACTGCAACCCATGTTCACTTTCAAACGCATGTCCAGTATATTCGAATAATTGAATTACCATAATGGGCAAACCTGATGCGACCCAACTGGCTCAGTTACTGAAAATAATCTAGCCAGAGACTACATGGAAACCCGCGGTGCCCAAACAAACAATCGTTATCTGGCTGTCGCCTAACGGATTCGCCGGCAGTTACCCGCACGGAGTGCGGTTTTAAGACAGCCGTCATCGAACACCTGAAAGCGTCTTGGTTCAGCTTCTCAAACATGAAAATTTCGGCCCACACTTTTCTTGATATTCAGGGACATACCTCTCCTACTCCACAGGTGTTTCAAATTAAGAATCCCGACCGGAGCCTTGCAGTTTCGTGCAATGACATAACATGTAGGACTAAAATCAAAATTAATACAGCTCCGTATCTACGTAAAAGGCGCCACAAGCTCGTGTGCCCCTCCTTGGACCGTAAGGTTGTTCATTGACTACACGTCAGGGACCATAAGCTTAAATTTCTGGGGTGCATTATTCATACCAGCGGATGGGATGCCTCTGTGCTGATTCACCTAGAAACGTCTCCTGCTTCTTTTCTTCGAAGACGAGAACGATTCGTCCCAGACCATTTGAACGCCGCGGTTCGCGGGGTTATTTTGTCGATCTTTTCATCGATCACTAAATTAAATATGAGCGTGCGCACCCCTGACGGACACCGACTGTGTAAGAAAGCATCTGGAGAGCTTTCCATATCTTTCTGCACCATGTCCGCCTCTCTCGCACCTCTCGTCCATTACTATGAAAAAGACTGAACGGTTGATGTCTCTCACTACAATTGCATATCTTCCTTCCCCAAGGATATTCCTACCGTAAGCTGAACCTCATTACCTGCCTTCTACAATTGAGAAAATAGAAAAATCAAATGGAAGCAACCTTTGTCGGACGTCTATGCCACCTGCAAGAGCTCATCAGTGCGGCCTTCCTTACATTTGAGAAATTCATTGATATCAGAGAGAAGAATGCTGAGACCCATTAAATGCATGCGATGTGATGCCCCAGAAGTAACTCGTTTCGCAAGGCCTCTAAGATTTACTTTAGGCTGTAACAGCGCCATTCTGAGGCCACCTCATCGTACAACACCATCAGATGCCTCTGATCTTATGTCTCCGTAATCTCCGAGCTACCTGATTTGCTCTCAGTCTAGCCAGTGCACGTTCCCAATAATCACACATGCCATTCCCGCTTGCATTGACTGCATACCTAGTATCCACGCGGGAATGCCGCGGGTTGGTTTT